GCGATAATCCTTGCCTTAACCTAAAAATTAATATGGGCAAAGACTATATGAACAAAGAACTCAGATCCAGGAGGAGAAGTTGATATTCTTACCTTTGGGGCCTTGTGGGTAACTTTTGGCTCTTCCTCAGTAGATATGGATTTTTGGGAAGGACCTCTAGGTTGTCTAGAAACGTCTAGGAACAAACCAAAAAGAGGATATGTTTAAAGAAGAAATCAAGGATGGCTGCTAAAAATTAAATAGGCGCGAAAGGGAATACCTTGGTTGGTCTGACCTTTGGTCGAGTGAAAGGAGAAAGCCCCAAAGATCCACTTATATATGCGTTGAGGAGACGCCGGTTAGGAATAATAAGAACTCCACCAATCATCAAATTTCTTCGTACAAAAGAAAGACAGGGAGTAGTCAAAAGAGGAAAGATGAGCAAGATTATCCCGAAAATACTCAAGTAGACTTCCAGAGTTTCCTCCTGAGTGGCATATGTGAAAAGGACCATGCCTTGCAGATTTGAGACTAGAGGTTTAAGGAGAAATTGGCTTAGGCCAAACTGTCTGGCAACCAAGTTGGGTTGGTACAAACCAAGGCTTATCCCAATTTTCTTGGTAGTAATCATCGACCAAAGAAGTGAAGAACGCAGACACTTTAGAAGAACATCATAGATAACCTCCGCCTCCTCAATAGCAGAGTTGGAAAATGGCATGCGAAACCAGGCTGGACCACACCACCGAGCAGCAAAGGGCTTCATTGATGGATCAAAGGTATTACATTTGTAAAAAAAAGTAAAATTACTTCTTGAAGGCTGATCTAGATACTACCTTGTCGTCTTCAGGAGTAAGTCGAGCGAACCTTGTACTCTTAGCATCTTCCTCAGTGTTAGGAGGGATTTGGATGTTGATGGCGTGAGTAAAGGTCAAATTGAGCCACAACTGTAACAGCCAGATATGTCCCCCAGTTTGGAAACTGTTGACCCTTCGCCTAAGGTCTTCTGGCGCATGCCCTAGTGCTTCATAAAGAATGGTTAGGATCAGCTTACTAAGGCAGACATCTACCTCTTTATGAGATCTTGGTGATTTGAATCCCGCAAGGGAAGAATACATAATGACACAACTAGTAGGTCAAAAAGGTTGTGTATTCGCGAGCATCGATAATATCACCAGAGCTCTGATGCTCTCCAATAAAGGTATTATAAACATGGATTGAAATATTAAAGCCAGTTTCAATAGAAGGTTCGCAATCCTTCCTACTGGGCCAAAGGCCAGTAATAGAAATAAGATCGAATAGGGTAGGAGTGACCATCCCACATGGCAGCTGGAAGACGTTAGTAGAAATCTCTCAGAAACACATCGTCGTGAGCAACATAGTAGGGTTATATCTAGAACTTACCCTAGAAAGTTGGATTCTATGACTCCACCCGGTCCAGCTAGGTAATATAAATGGAGTCAGCGGTTTCAAAAAGGGAAAAGAGTGGAAGATTTGTATTTGCAGAAATCTAAAGTCAAAAGAAGAAACTTTGAAGACCATGTGGCCTCAATTCTCCTTCGGACAATTGGGAAAGAAGTCATCAAAACACTGGTGGTTTAGAGGCTTTGGGTATAGGACCCATGAAAGAAAATATGGTCCCTGAGACTGAATAAAGGACCAACTGGTTCGCATGTCAAGGACGTCTCTGAGCGTCTACTAGAGGTGGTTCCCAAACATACGTCTGATCATTGGATGAAATCAACTCATTAAGAACAACAACAAATGGAGGGTGGTCATGAATGAGACATTTTGGTGCCATGTTTAAGGTTGAATAAGATGCCAAGTATGTAATGGAAAATAGTGGGCAACATTATTTAGGGTTTCTCTTTCATTAGCTTCAGAAATAAGAACGAGGTAAGAAAGTAGATATTGGGAGAAGAAGGGGTTTAAATAGACAAAGAAAAGATGGCGAAAAGTTTCTCCATGAACATGGACAAATGACGTGTTCGGAGTCAATAAGCAGTCTCGAGGAAAGGAGATTTATGATTAATAAAATCTCAAATCCCGGTTTATAAGATAGTTAATAACCTTGGAATTTGAGGTAATGATATACCGACATTTGCACGTTTTGAAGAGGTGACAAAGAATGAGGTGGCGTGGCACAGAATATGAGGCGGCGTAACAAAGAAAGTTAGTCATAATGACTAACAACAAACATTAGTGAAATGGCGTGGCACAAAATATGAACAGTGCTAAAGTAGTTATAAATATGCCATTTTTCTCCTCTCAGATATGGGTTGACAGTGGCATTTTTTGGGAGGCATTTGTTACACTTGGATTTTCAGCTACTAGAAAGTCAACAAAGAATTTCAAAGAAAAGACGTTTATTATGAGCATTAATGAAGTATCTTTGAAGAAGCATTAATGGGGAGGCATCAACAAGCCAACAACGAAGGGTCGACTGAGTCGTCGACATAGCGAGACGTGGTTTGGAGGAATCCCATGGAAATCCCCAAGACCAATCTCATTGGGAAATTTGTCCAAAATCTTAAAAAGGGCATTCAACAGGAACATGTCCAGAATCTCGAGAAGGACAGTCGACAGGAGCCCTCATCCCATCAAAAAGGGGTCAGTCAACGAAACAGCATGGCACAAAAGACTTAGTGACTTTTACAAGTCTTGGGTCCTCGATAAGCCTCGTCGACGGCACATTGGGGCAATTATTATCAAAGGTTCATGAAGAAGTGGAAAGAAATTATCACCCAACGTGGATTGCAAGCAGATAACGTCTTGGAAGACACGTAAGCGCACTAGTGGGAACTTGAAGGATTGAACATGGAGAAAACACAGTAGTCCCTCAGTGGTCATATTCGTCATCAATGGTTACTTTGTAAATAGAATAAATAGCAGACTCATACATGAGATCAAGGGTCGCAAAATTTCATACATACTTTCTGTACTACTAGAGTATTTGAGTCAAAGAGTGAAACAGTTGAGCAAGAAACATGTATACGTCTGTGTCCGCACTTTTTTCTTAGTCTTTTTGCTTCCTTAAATGGAACATTGTACTTTTTCTTTTTCTATGTATAATTTTATTTACTTCATTTTACTTTATCATTTATCGCAACTTGACTTCATTTAAAGCCTTTTACTATGCTACATTCAATTCACAGGCATGTGTGTTCACACAAATTATTTACACAAATTGCTTTGGATATTTTTCGAGTTAATCTCATAGACTTTCAAACTCGTGATTGTTTACCAAAAACACCGGTAAACATGTGGTTTCCAAATTCTTTCTCCATTGTTGAAGTTGTTGGAGTAGTTGTTGTAACCACCTCTTCATTCTTCTCCATGTCCTCGTCCACCTCCACGATCTTGGCTACGACCTCGTCCTATTTGGCTGTTGTAATTCACATAGTTTTCTTCCTTTACGTTGAGTTGTAGTAGTTGCTTCATAGTCTTCTTTTGTTTAAATTTTCTTTTTTGTTATTCTTTGTATACTTGTAAGGGACCCATGAGTTGCTCAATAGTCATGGTCTTTAAATCCTTATTTTTTTCAATGTTGGTAACAATGAAGTCAAAACTTGGATTTGAAGTACAAAGTATTTTCTCCATGACTTTCACCTTATCAACATCTTCAGCATTTCATTTAAGTTGATTGATTACGACCAATACTCGAGAAAAATAATTAAAAATTGACTCAGACTCTTCCATGAATAAATGTTCAAAGTCACCTCTAAGAGTTTGAAGATGGTTTTTTCATATACTTCACTCCTTTGTTGCAAGTATGAAGTTTGTCCATGCTTCTTTGATCGTTGTTGCGTTGGAGATCTTCTCAAATGTATCTTCATCCACCGATTGATAAATGCAAAAGAGAGCTTTTATGTCTCTCTTTCTTGACTCCTTCAATGTCTCCTTTACACCTTGGCTTAGTGAGGCTTCATCTTTCTTCTTTAAGCCTTTCTCAATGATATCTCACACATTTTGAGCCTCTAGTAGCGCCTTTATCTTGATACTTCAGTTGTCATAGTTCTTCTTTTGAGCATATGCATTTGGAAAGGGTAAACCCCATTCACCATCTTTTGAGGACTTTGTAGCTCTGGTACCACTTTGTTGAAAATAAGGCATTTTATATTTAGGAAAAATGTGTGGAAATATTAGAGGCTTGAATAAAAATTTGATAGGTAGGAGAATTCTTTATGGAAGAGAGAACTTTGTATTTTTGCTTGATACAAAAATGTATGATTACATCTCTATTTATAGTACTCTATAGAGAACTCTAGACACACTAATTCTAGGGAGTTTTCAACTTTTGAAATTGCAAGAGTATTCTAGAAAATATTACAATCCTAAAAAATATTTAGACATTTCAAACACTACAAAAGTTTTATAAAACATTATCCAAAATTACCTAATCGTAAAATAACTAAATTCAAAAAGACAAAATACAAATAATAAGATTAGACACAAATCAAATTTAATATTTCAACAATAATATGTTACATCAACTTCTGTTAAATTAAATAGACGACTAGAAACAAATTCAAATGGATGATAATTTTTTTTTACTTTGTATGACATTTTAATTGGATGACAAACATGCATTAATTTAATGATTAATACCATATAATAAGTCATTGAATTAAAACTATTAGTAAGAAAATATACTCTCTCATTTTGCCGACTTCATTTGCAAATGCAACTAATTGCAAGATCCAAATATATTTTATTTAATAAAATTTGATCATTCTAGCATTGTTGTATATATACCGTGACTTTGTCGCAACGCAGTTCGAGATGCTCATCACATAGCAATCCATCACTTTTATCTTCTCTCCTTTCACTCAACCCAAGATCGCAATTTCAATACTCCATTTCTTGTTGCATTACGGTACCAATACAATTTCTTCATCTTAATTACGTTTTATTTCATACTCAATTTGATTCATTGATCCGTGTTTATCATCATTGAAAACTCTTGTTTTATTAATCTTACAATTGATTTTTGGGTATTTATGTAGAAAAAGAGAGATTAAGCAATGTCAGATGGTAATAATATTGATGAGAATGTGAACAATCGAGTTCACTGTGATAATAATAATAATAATAATAATTCTGAGGATGATCTCAAAGCTTCTGAGAAAGAGGCTAATAATGAAAACTCAATGCCCTCTTCTGAACAAGAGGTAATTGTTTTTGCTTCATCGTTGTTATTTCAAGAGAAAGTTTATGTTTTTTTCTTGGGGCTGGTTGTTCTTTATGTTATTAGATTAAAAAAAAAAAAAGATGAACAAGTTATCTTTAAAAGCTATGATTAATGAATAAAATATGAATGATTTATAGTTGGTTGTGTTCTGGTGTGTATTACTCCCTCCGGTACTATTTTATTGAATAATCAATGTATCTTTGAACCAGAGAGTATATTAAGTTCATTGATATTGATATAAAAGGTATGTCTGTGGTAGTGTTTTTAGAAACTGCGCATTTAGGCATTCAGCATATTTGTTGCCGAGATCAGCCATAGCTCAAATTTTAATGCAGATTTTGATCTTTTTAAATCAATCTTACTGAGCTTGAACATTGGATCATTTGATCTCGATCCATCAACTACGAATCTGCCGAGTTTGTCAAACTAGGTTGTGTTTTTAAATCTTGTCCAAACCTTACTGACTATTTTGGGGAAAATTCATCAGATTATTTAACATGATTTAAAGTTTCAAACCGGTAATTTCATTTTTTTCACGGTATTGGACGGAAAATAGCTATTTGTCCTACGCCGTAGTCGTTTATAAAAGATGAAGGACTTTTTTTAATCTAAAAAGAAGATAAATGACATGTTTGAAACTTAGAATTAAGTTGAAGGACCCTTGATGCAGGCCTACTATAAAGGAAATGTTCAGATTGGAAGTAAGTTTTTGCATCAGTTCAAGATATTATTATTTTCGTTTGTTGGTAAAAAATCTGTTGTACTAAGTTTTCTTAAGCTTAGATATTACTGAAATCACTCCTCAAGCATTCGCGAGGGAGATATTATCAAGGGTTTCTTCCCACATTTATGTTTATTCTTGGCATTAAATCTCACATTATGTTATTATGCTGCAAATCTATTCATGCAGGAAGACGCCATAAAGAAAAAGTATGGAGGTAGATTGCCAAAGAAGCCTCCACTAATATCCAAGGTTTTTTTTCCTTATTGGTTTCTTCTTCAACGTTTCATTTCCTGTATTGCTATACCATTTGACAATATATATGTTTGTGTGAAATGTATTTTGAACTGACTCTTGTTCATGAATAAATTCATTTTTTGGCAGGATCATGAACGTGCTTATTTTGATTCTGCTGATTGGGCTTTGGGGAAGGTATTTATTGGTCATTATGCTATTAAAATTTTCGATCTAACCTTCAATTCATTTCATTTGAATACCCGAGATCTCTGTCTTATCTCTATATGATTACTCATATAGCAAGGAGCACAAAAGCCTAAAGGACCACTTGAAGCACTCCGTCCAAAACTGCAGGTAAAATTATTTGTTAACTTTTTCACTCTTGTGTTCACATAAAAACTTGGCCCTGTTTGGATAAGCAAGTAAAATAAGCGCTTATAGCGTAAGTGCTTATCATATAAGTCTATGTATAAGTTATTTTTATAATAAAAAATTAAAAAGTGAAGTCAAATTGTTTTCATATAAGTTGTTAGTTGTTTTCATAAGCTATACTTAAGAGCTCATGAAAATAAGTTAGAAATAACTTTGAAACATGTCATAACTTTTTTTCATATGTTCTACCAATTGGTCTCACAAGTGTTTTATACCAATAAGTAAGCTCAAATAAGAAAAATCTAAAAGGCCCTTGGTGTGTTTGGATTGCTGTCGAATCCCCCAACTTATTTTTGCTCAGCAAGACATGAACAATTTCAGCCTTCCAAGTAGTTCTCGTTTGAAATGGAAACAACGGTAGGGCTGCTTTTCCAAACGATGTTTCCTAAATTTAGTTAGTTCAAACTTAAGTTTGCAAACTTTAATCCATACATAGATTAAGTTTATTCTTTTCTGCATTGGTGCGGTTAACACACAATGTATCTATTGTGTTTGTAATAGTTCTGATATTGCTTTTTATGTTTTCTGTACCCTGTCTTGGGGTCCTACCTGCATTGGTATTCAGCCAACTCAACAGCAGGCCCGATCAAGGCGCTCAGCTTATGCTCCAGGAGATGGTTCTGAAGGTATGTGCAAATGACAAGTCCATTTCTTGTATTCCATAAAGTTCAGGTCTGTGTTAAAACTCAAAACTGTTGTGGTATGTTTCTTCTTTGACAGTTGACGGTGATATTGCATCATTAGACGATCCAAGCGGTAGTGAAGATGTTGCCGGTGATAAGAGTGATGATGCTGCTCAAGACCAAAGTTGCCATTAGTAAATTGCATTTTGACAGTGGTGGCTTTGTTGTCTGAATTTACATGCAAATGATGATGCATATTAGAGTTGGTTGTGCTAATAACTAGTTTGAAGCGGTAGTAACCATGATGTGCTAGGATTGCACAGTGAGAGAGGTCTTGAACTATTGTGCCCAGTTGTAACATTTCATGTTTTACAAAATATAATTATCTAAAATAAGATTGGATGTTTATGTTGGTGCATCTAATTGAATGAGTTTCTTTGACAAATAAATGCAAGGAACTTGCTACGATGCCCTGCAAAGAAACAGTCAGCATCAGCTTCATTTTTTAATACTAGTTTCAAAGACACTTAATTCATAAGTAACTAAAATTCTTTGAAGAGATTTTTTTAAATCAAACATCTCCATAAATCTTTGACCATATTCTTATTAAATCATTTACTACATGTATCATTAAAATCATTAAAATGTGATTTTTTTTGTCAATTAGTATGGCGGCTGAATTTCACTCTTCAAAGAGGAAGAAGTGGGATGTCGTGGGTTTGAATTCGCGTATTTACATCTGATGGTGGCATTATTCCACTATAGCAGATCGGTTTTAGGTCTGAATTCGCGTATCTACATCTGATGGTGACATTATTCAACTGTAGCAGACCGGTTTTAGGTCTTTTATCGGGAACCCATAAAGAAGTTGCCAAATTTTTTGTTTTTGGTTTTATAAATACTAAAAATTAAATTTTTATGCATATTGGAATTTCCTCATCAGAATCCTAAAACCAAATAACACTAATAAATAACATTGGAAAAATCAAATACTATGTTCTTCAATTCAACAAAAGTAGCACAGAAAACACCAACCCATTGAACTTTTCAAATTCAATATCATGATGAATCTTATTAATTCTCCAATTCTTGGTACAAAAGTATCATTGCATTCCTTCACACCAAAACCCAAAGCTATTATCGAAAATACCCACAACAACTCTCGTATTACTATGATGCTCAAAAAACGTGTTAACTCGGACGAGTCAAACAAACTCACCACCACCACCACTGAGTTTGATGACTCGCTTGAATCATCCACCACCACCACCAAACCATGCTTATGTGGAAGAAGGCTCTTCATTGAAGCAACTGCAACTGCAACACTCACAGCAACCACTCAGTCTGCCACAGCCACAAATTCAGATTCTGAGTACACAGTAATTCCTTTTCTTTGTAACAGTAAAATATATTTCAAAGTTTTTTATTTATCAGTGTTGATTGAATGAACACAAGTTGAGTTTTGCTGACACTGGAAATGCTTTCTTTTCTTGTAGGCTTTGGTTAACAAGTTTCACCCTCCTAAACCTGATTGGTATCAAAAGTTCTTTGCTTGGGTTCTCAATTCATTTACTAAATCTTATGAAGCTGAGGTTTGTTCTTCATTCTTTTTATCCATATGGGGTGGATTTTATTTCAAATTTTCGTTATTTTCAAGAACATATGGCCTGTTTGTTTTTGCGTTTGCAAGCATATGTACGCGCGTTCGATGAGAAACTACACTTTGTAGCATGCTGGTTGGATGAATTACCAAACATACGTTAATTATTCGACCTTTAAAATTTAAAGGACTAGAATGAGTATTCACTTTTTGTTTTTGTTCTCTGAACTCTCTTTTTGGGTGGTTTTGTGTTTTTTCTCATCATTGCATTGAAGTGAGGTTTGCTATGTTTTCATGTAAGGTTGCTCGGTACAAGTCTCAAATCTTCAGTATCTTGAAGGAGAAGAAGGCTAACAAAATCTTGGAGATTGGCATTGGAACTGGTCCTAACCTCAGTTATTATGCAAGTGATTCAAATGTGCATGTTGTTGGCATTGATCCTAATCCAGAGATGGAGAAGTATGCTCGGTCTTCTGCTACATCGGCTGGATTTCCACTCTCAAATTTTGAATTTATACATGCTGTATGTAATGTTTCTTATTCTCACAGGTTTTTAAGCTATATAAATTATAATCCTTTCTTTAGAATGAGGATTTTGAGGAACCATGGTATACAGAATTTGTGGTCTAAGTGATTATTACTTGATTTGTGTTAATTGATCTTTAAATTTTGTTCTATTTAGGTTGGGGAGGTTATACCATTAAGTGACGCTTCGGTCGATGCAGTTGTTGGAACACTTGTATTGTGTTCTGTTAAAGATGTTGATCTGACACTTAAAGGTGATGATACCTTAGCCTTCTGTTTTTGTTCAAATTTTTTGCTTACCTACACATTTTATGTGAATGTTGGGTATGACTTGTAGTCATGGTTGTCTTTGAGGGCGGGCAAGGCAGGCTACTGCACAAGGCCTAAAATTTGTCATAGTTAAAAAGTGACAAATAGAGTCTCATAAAAACAGTAGTTAAAAAGAGTCTCTATTTTATCATAGTTAAATTACGGCTAATCTACACAAAACCTCCAAAAATTTTAGACGATTATGCTCGTAGTTTACTTCTAAGTGAGTAGGGATCGCACAAGTAATTAAGCACAAGTTATTTTCTATAAATCCTAAGTTTGAATGATAGAAAGGTATTGTAGCCGTAGGTGCTCCACAATCGAAGACGTAGACACAATTAGCCGAACTCCGTGATCAAATATTGTCTGTTTGCAATTTTTATTTATTTATTTACTTTTGTTTATAATGTATATAACTTTGAAATTGCATGATATATGCAGAAGTGACGAGGGTGTTGCGACCTGGTGGAGTGTATGTGTTTGTGGAACATGTAGGTGCAAAAGGTGCATAAACAAAACTTCTTTTCTTCACTATTTTACACCGAGTAAAAAATAGCTTAATTTCGGTTTGTTTTCATGGCGATACAGATGGAACATTTCTCCGATTCTTACAGAGAGTTCTTGATCCGCTGCAACAGACAATTGCAGATGGGTGTCATCTTTCTAGGGACACAGGAGAGAGTATATCAAAAGCTGGATTTTCAAGTGTTGAGCTTGACATGGCATTCTTATCAAATGCTACATTTATAAATCCTCATGTATATGGAATAGCTAACAAGTAGTATCAAATTCATGTCTTTGTTCTTCTTAGCATGTTGCGATTCGGTTGCTTTGAAAGGATTCTAGTCATTTTCAGGTACTTTAACTTGAATGCAGATTTAACACAAAGTGACTAGTAAAACAATCAATCTCAGATTTAGTCTAAGGATATTTTTCATCATTCTGTTGGACAAGCTGTGCAGTTTTGAAGGTTTCTTACGGTGAATCATTGATCATATAAAACTTTCATAGGCCATGTTTGTAACAGGTTAGTTCATGTTTGGGGGTATGGTTGTAAAAGGTCATGTGTATAGTAGAAGTTAGAAAACAAATAAACGGAACTTTCTTGCATTATCTACCTGAAGTTTATGTGACTCTCACTATATCATGCACACCGTTTTCTTAGTCTCGCGGTTTTAAGAGAGAAGGGTTCAACTTCCTTTAAGATTAAGATTAATTTTTTTAAATTTATTTTAAATTATAGTCTTTAATATAGATTTAATTGAATGCTTAATTGAGTAAAAATGTTAATTATTAAATTAGATTTAATTTAAAGGTTGTGATTTGGAGTAACTTAAAAAAATTTATTCTTGAAATAAGTTGAATCAAATATATATATATATATATATATATATATATATATATATATATATATATATATATATATATATATATATATATATATATATATATATATATATATATATATATATATATATATATATATATATATATATATATATATATATATTGGGAATCAAGTTACTCCAAGAGTAAGTTGTTTTAACTTACTCCACATCATAGCCTTTAAATTGAATCTAATCTAATGGTTAAATTAGCTTTTATACTTATAATCATTCGATTAAATTTAATTTAAAGGCTATGATTGTGGAGTAAGTGGATCCACACACACACATATATATTAAATAGTCTTGTGGTCCCTGTAATTAGCAAATTTTTAAATTTAATTCATGTATTTTTTTTTTGTCTGAGTCCTTATATCTCACTTTTGTGTTGCCTTTAGTCCTTGTTGTTAGATTTCTCTTAAAAAAAATTGAATGGACAAACGGTGCAGACGTGAAACTGTTTCTCATTTATATGTGATGCACACGTAGAAGAGTATAAATGCCTCATCAAGTATTTCATTTTAGCCTCCCTTTGGCAGCTGCCATCATCAAGTCTTTAAATTGTGTCTCTACACCAATTTTTTTTTTTAAATTGATATATAAATGTCTTAGACAAAGTCTGTTTTCTACCCTCTCAAACAATTCTTCAAAGACATATATCAAGCCCTACAAATTTAAGGATGAAAATAAAAAACAATTAACATAGTTAGGGATGAAATCCAAAAAACATGAACATAATCAGGGATTAGATCCAGAAAAACATAACGAGTACCTTTTGTTGGTCAGAGATGAAAACTCATCTCTTATCTTGACCAATATTCTCCAAAAGCAAGGTAAGAAACCACCTCCATGACTTTTTTGTTTCAATTTCACATACACCAAAAACTATAGGATAATATTAGTCATTTGAATCTCTACCAACTGCAATGAGAAGAGTCCCTTTATATTTTGTCTTGAGATGACATCCATTAACACCAATGAATGGCCTACAAGAGGTTGTGAATCCCTTTTTAAGCCCATATAAGCAAAAATAAAAGCTGTCAAACCTTGGTTGTATTGTTGGCTCAATCCTTGTCAAATTAATTTTGCAAGTGTTCCCAAAATTGACTCTCTTGAGCTCTGCAGAGTATCTCCATAAAAGAATGTATTGTTTCACTGCATCACCTTCAATCAAAAAATTTGCAATTTATTTTGCCTTCCATGCTCTGCTCATAGTTATACCTACTGAAAAGTTACTCCTAATCTCAGAGACAATATCTCGAATCTTAACACCATCTGAAGATGTCATCCTAGGCGCCACAGTTTTAGAAACCCACTTGAAAGTGGTAGAGCTATTATTCAGTACCCTACCACACGTGTGTGTTCCAATCCATTTC